CTCCTTCCACTGTACAATAGTAAACATAGATTTACACACATAATGAATTAACAAAATATCTTCATATTCTGAACCTCTCTCTGCTCATTCTACAACTTCTTGAATGTACTGAGTCGGACGAACCCCGCGGTCTCGTCAACCCCGCAGCATCGGTTGTAGACCGATCGCCGATAAAGGAGCTACACAACTTATATAGTTCTTTGTCGACAGGATACAGCTTTTCCATGATCTCATCAAGAATTGGTCCAGTCTGTGGTATTGCGTTGGACATTGATCAATTCCTGCACTTGTCTGATATCGTTCAACCAAAGAGATGGCGACTACTTACAACATCCTCGTCCTTCCCGGCGATGGGATCGGTCCTGAGGTCATGACCGAAGCGGTCAAAGTGCTAAAGGTCTTTGAGAATGAGCACCGAAAGTTCAACCTCCGGCAAGAGCTCATCGGGGGCTGCAGCATCGACGCACACGGGAAATCCGTCACAGAAGAAGTCAAAAAAGCTGCTCTGGAATCCGATGCCGTGCTCTTCGCAGCAGTCGGGGGTCCAAAATGGGACCATATCCGTCGTGGCCTTGACGGGCCTGAGGGGGGTCTGTTGCAGCTCCGCAAGGCGATGGACATCTACGCGAATCTCAGACCGTGCTCGGCCAGTTCGCCAAGTGCGTCGATCGCGAAGGAGTTTAGCCCGTTCCGCCAGGAAGTTATCGAGGGGGTAGATTTCGTCGTGGTGCGAGAGAACTGCGGAGGAGCGTATTTCGGGAAGAAGGTCGAAGAAGAAGATTACGGTACGTTGTCATTTACACGCAGTATGCTTTCGGGACTGACTCTGCTATCACAGCGATGGACGAATGGGGCTATAGCGAACGCGAGATCCAGCGCATCACCCGTCTCTCTGCGGAGATTGCCCTCCGCCACAACCCTCCGTGGCCGGTCATCTCCCTGGACAAAGCGAATGTGCTCGCCTCTTCGCGGCTGTGGCGGCGCGTCGTTGAGAAGACGATGGCTACCGAGTATCCCCAGGTGAAGCTCGTGCATCAGCTGGCGGACTCGGCGTCGCTGATTCTAGCTACCAACCCGCGCGCCTTGAACGGCGTCATCCTGGCCGACAATACATTCGGCGACATGATTTCTGATCAGGCCGGTTCGATCGTCGGGACATTGGGCGTGCTTCCCAGCGTCAGTCTCGATGGGCTACCCAGTGAGACTAGAAAGAGGACGAATGGTCTGTACGAGCCGACACATGGATCCGCACCGACGTACGTTTCCCCTGATTTTCATGTTTCACTATGAAGCAAGCTGACAATCATCTGCAGAATCGCAGGCCAGAACATCGCCAACCCCGTCGCCATGATCCTCTGCGTGGCACTAATGTTCCGCTATTCGCTAGACATGGAGGCCGAGGCGCAACAGATCGAAAAGGCAGTCCAGGGTGTTCTGGACGCTGGGATCCGCACCCCTGATCTGAGAGGGAAATCGGGAACAAATGAAGTCGGGGATGCAATTGTTGCTGCACTGCAGGGCAGCTCATAACTCTGATGGTTCCGGAAGGGCCAGCGAAGCTTCAGATTAAGACAGACCCAATGAAAGAATCTTCATGAGTCTAGACTGTTTTTTCGGTAGTGAGACGAAACTTGAGCCTCATTTCTAGTTCACCAAGAACAATGGGCGCAATCAAGTGACGGGAGTGAACAAAGAGATCTTTTCCAGAGTTCAAACATTGTTTTGCATGGTATGTACCTCTGCATATGTTTCAATAACGAAAAAACAAGAGATGCCGGAATTAAACAGTTTGTTATAAAATATACAATATAAAGCATGGCTATACCTACATACCACCTCACCTACCTTCTACTATCTACACTCTACACTCTACAGTTCCAACGATTTAATCACTACGGGATGACCAAAGACATCTTCAGACACACATCCTACATCTCACGCCTCCAAACCCTCCCGGACCTAGACAGCTCCTCCAAACGCACCCTCCTCTGCTCCATCGCCACCGACATCACAGCCACCTTCATCTGCATCTCCAAACACATCGAAAACGGCACTCTGAGCGATGAACACACAGCCTCCATCGAGAGCATCATCGACATCATCAAGGGAACGGAGGCTTCGCAGCGCCGGATGCTAGAGCGGAAGGTGAAGCGGTATACGCGGCTGGCGCGACGGCTGAAGAGCCAGAGGGAATGGATGCGGAGGGAGTTTGGCGAGTTGGTGAAGCGCGCAGATGCAGTCAATTTGCGGTGGAGGAAGAGAGTGCGGGATCTAGAGGTGGTGAATAAGGCGATGAGGAGGGAGTTGGTGAAGGGCAGGCAGTGAGATGCTCAAGATGGGGATAGGGGCAGGGCGACTGATGAGTATCCCTGGTGACGTTAATGCAAATTTTGATGCTCTGTGCTTTCATCTTTAAAGTTGCAGACTTCAGAATAGCATCAAATTCACGTGGCAATGTTCTCCTGTTGTCCGTAATTGGCCGATGAATTTTGATGGTGGATGGATTTGTGGCAAACTCAGGCATGAGCTGATATTCCATTTGGAGATTGTCACAACTTTATAATGAAATACTTGACCATCAGTATTCATATAGATAGTCAATGCTGAATTAAATCGTCATATCCACTGGAGGTACTAGATAGACAGCAGTGACTGAGTACTTAAAGCGGAATCAAAGTTCCAAGGTTGAATCGCGCAGAACTTTCGGATCGGGATTCCCAGCACACCCTGGCAGCACTCACAGGCATCATCCGACAATAATGATATCGAACTAATCATCAAAGGAATTTCTATACTGTAGTCTCATCTGGTGGTCCTCGCTGTAGTCACTGATCTCTTCAGTACTGACGCGATAGAGTACAGCATACTCCGTACAGCTGGACGATCAGCTGCGCGAGGAAAATCTCGCGATGCTTCCCCAGATGTTTCCAGATCCCGCGAAGGAAAAGGCCAGTAATTAAGCAGATATATCAGATCATTCCTGCTGGACCAAATGAAATGGACCTCGGCATCTGAACACTTATCGCCAGAATCTTTGCACTGATTCGGCCCGCGGATCCACTCCCTTTTGTCCTTCTTCATGTGCGACAACTGACAAGAAAAAGAGTCGACGCCTCCCAGGCTCAGTGACCTTGACCTTCTTTTCTCTCTTTCATTGTACATTCTTTTCCTTTTGACTATCGATACCCATCGTGTTCCGTCTCTCTTTTTCTTTGAAATTTGCGTTCGACCTGTAGAGGCAGTTGAGAGTTGACCCACCTATCGATACCCCAGAAAGAACACAATCGGCCGAAATGAGCAGACCGGGGGATTATGACGCCGTCCGCAAGGATATCATTGCTCAGTTGAAGAAACCAGACTATGACGACGGCAGCGCAGGACCCGTATTCGTACGACTCGCATGGTTCGTTTTCTTTCCCTCTTTTCCCTAGACTCTATCCCACTCACCACTGACGCTTCTCCTCTCAGGCACTCCGCAGGCACATATGACCTCGAAACCGACACCGGCGGCTCCAACGGCGCAGGCATGCGCTACGAAGCCGAAGGCGGCGACCCCGCCAATGCCGGCCTCCAGCACGGCCGGGCCTTCCTCGAGCCCGTCAAGGAGAAACACCCCTGGATCACATACGCCGATCTGTGGACACTAGCCGGCGTGGTCGCCATCGAAGCCCTGGGCGGTCCGTCAATCGTCTGGAAGCCCGGCCGCACCGACCTCGTCGACGACTCCAAGGTTCCGCCACGCGGCCGGCTGCCCGACGCCGCACAGGGCGCCGAGCACCTCCGCGCCGTCTTCTACCGGATGGGCTTCAACGACCAGGAGATCGTCGCGCTGGCGGGCGGGCATACCCTCGGCCGGTGCCACATCGACCGCAGCGGGTTCCAGGGCCCGTGGGTGAACAACCCGACGCGGTTCTCGAACCAGTTCTTCAACCTGCTGCTGAAGCTGGAGTGGAAGCCAAAGACGCTGCCGAACGGGGTCAACCAGTTTGTGTATGTGGATCCGGACGCGGAGGAGGGCGACGAGCCGCTCATGATGCTGCCGACGGATATCGCGCTCAAGACGGACCCGGCGTTCCGCGTGTGGGTGGAGAAGTACGCGGCCGACAAGGACCTGTTCTTCGACCACTTCGCCAAGGCGTTTGCCAAGCTGATGGAGCTGGGGATCAAGCGTGATGAGAACGACCGCGTCATCAACGCCGATAATGTCAAGGGCGGGTACATCTCTGCGCCGAAGAAGAGCAATCACCCGACTGGACCGGCCAAGGGGGCTCAGGGTGGATGTCCCGTGGCGGCGGCGCAGGGCGGATGCCCTCGGGCTAGGCTGTAATCCTTTCTTTTCCTGTCAAATATGTTAGAATCTTTCCTTTTGTTGATACAGGATCGGACTAGATAACTAGATCACGGGTGCATGTACATGTATAGATTAGACGCATACAATACCATGTTTGATTTTTCATTTGCTTAGACCGAAATCGAGTCTTCTATTGTCATAAGAGCATGGAACTGTTCGAGCAGGGTGGAAAGAAGCCATTCAGTACTAATATAGCCGGGGAAAGGGGAGAGTAAATGCGGGGAAGAAAGTATCCCTGCAGCCGCACAGACAAACGCCATCAACGGCACCTCGCTTCGCTAGCATTTATAATTCATTGGTTGTGGAGTGTTTTTATTACTCATAGCATTTTTATCATTATTATCATAGCTTGATCCGCTTATGAATGTTCCTTGGTCTAGAGACGGGTCTAGCATGTTGACAGTTGAATTGGTGGCATGGGTTCAATGTAGCCACTGTATGACTGTACTACCATTGTTAAGAGTCTGTTACAGATGAATTGTCTATTGACTATCATCGCAGATGAAACTGGACTACAAAATTCAAGAACTCAACATGACAAAACAAACATATTGTTGACCCCACACACCATCGATCAATGTAAGCAAGCTGCAACAAGCTAGCAAACTCCGACCCAAAGCAAAATAGAACAAGCAGAACATCACCTAAATTATCTACTCAGCCTTGCGCTTCTCCTGGTACCGACTCGTTCGGTCCGTTCAGCCCGAGTTCGTGCTCGTTTTCTAGGAGGCGGTCCCATCGTGGTGTTTGTCGTGACACCATTGTCACCATCGCCGTCGTTGGTATCGTTGATATCGTTGCTTTCGCTGCGATTATTGTTGTCGCTAGTGTCCTGAACTTCTTCGATGGCTCGCTTCGGCGACACACGCATATAAAATGGCTGCACGGCACCACACACCGCGAATCCCGCCATCATGTCCGGTGACGGCTGACTTGCCTGCCCTGTTCTCTGTTTCTCTGGACTGTTCGACGCCGATGGGATCCAGAAGAATTGCTGCGTGGGCGAAATCGACATTGCGCTGGGGTCACCGGTCGGCTGCATCATGAGCGTGTTTGTGAAATTGGCAAAATTGCCGAAGCCGTTCTGCGGGCTGTTGCTTCTGCGACTGAAGCCGCTGAAAAGGCTAGTCGTGTTCATTGGCGGGTTGATCTCGAAGGGGTTCACACCTACAGGTTGCGCCGTTGCAAAAGTCGAGACAAACGGCCCGAGGGTGGCTGGTATCGCAGAAGTGTATGTGGTGGGAGCCTGTGCGTTTGCAGCCTGCTTCATCCCTGTTGGAACTGGCGATACTCGCATAGAAGATCGGACAGATGTTGGGGCGGAGGGTAATCCAGGGCCAGACGAGTGGCCAGCCGAGCTGACGGAAGTTTGACTTCGCACAGTAACAGTCTGTTCTTCTGCGTCACCATCTGCTGCAAGCTTGAAGCGGTCTGCGTTGGGCAAAATCCGGTCCCAGGGAGGTGACTGCGTGGGAAGGGTAGGTTCGGCTCTGATCCAGGGCGTATGTTCCTGGGCAACCAGTTTGCCATCCATTTTCACCTTCATCATGTCAAGCAACGAGTGATACGCAAGACTGAATACTTCCGGCTCCGGGTCCATGACTCGTTCGTAAACGAGGAATGGCACCGAGGTGTTTCTCCACCATTCCGGAGGTACCCTCTCATCCTTATGAGCCGGTGGAATATCGCCGATGACCAGGCCCGAGTTCATCGTGCTGTCATACATCTTGAGGAAGCCATTTTCAGTCTCTCCTCTCTTGGTGTCCGTCCAGAACACGCGATACCGGTAATCCTTATAGTAAATACCCCCCAACCAACGGTACGTGGCCTTTTGCAGCTGACCATCGCCATCGCAAAAGTCAAAGGTGATGTCCTTGGTGTGATTTCTGATTGAAACCTGCTCGTCCAGACCCACCACCATGCGCAAGGGAAGAGTGTCAAACCTTCTCTCAATGGTCACAGATTGTGGTGCGTTGCATGCCGTACAATCCGCATGAAGAAGAGGCGCGAATGGCCGGGCCATCACCTCGTTCATGCACGCCCCGTGCATATCACCAGGATGCAGGTCGGGCGCCACGAAGGTTTTGGTATGTGCTTGAACAGTGGCAGCCTGCCCGGTACATTGACAAGGCGCAACTGCTTCCCGGTACGTGAAATGGAACTGGTCAAAGTGGCCAGCACAATCAGACCAGACGGTCCACAAAGGGCTGAGCATTCCAGGCTGGACGCCTGCTACGTGTTCGTGGACGACGTCCCAAAAGTGGTCTCTCATTTCTGAATTTTCGTCCAGAGAGAGAACATCCCAATTGACGTCAGTGGCCTCGATAAAGGCTCGCTCCAGTGTACTAAAGCGGGTCTCCCATCCAGCCCTCTTACGATCGATAACCGTGGACCCGGCATCGAGCAACTTGCCCACAACAATCAGACTGTCGATGGTGCTCGAGTTGTTTTTCCAGATAGGGCCTCTGCCTCGGCAGGGATAGTCATTGCCGGCGGGATCGATAATCGTTCTGGTAGGGTCGTGCGGGTCCAACGAGAGCCGCACTTGGGCATTTACATGGTACAGTCCAACAATGGCTTTGGATATGTCTCCTTCATGCAAAGCAGTAAGATATGGCCGGGCGACTGTCTGTGGAGCAGCGCTGGCGTCTCGCTCAAGCTCCAAGTAGGCATATTTCATGACCACTTTTTCAACGTCCTCAATGATTGTTCGAGCCATGTGAGCAGGCACACGGACGACCGCAGAAGGAGCAGGGGCAGGTATAAAGACGCCCGTTGGGTTAGCAGGGGCTGTAAGCGGTAGGTTTGCAAAAGGCCCAGCTGCTGTACTAACCATGGCCGTTGTCAGGTTGTTGTTCTGAAATGCAGCAGTATTGCCGTCACCTCCAAGGTTCATCGTGCTCACCGCGGGCGGGCTTGAGCCTAGTGGTTCTGCTTCAGACATGTCCAAGTCACGACTGGGCTTGTCCATTCGCTCAAGATAGATATCGGGAATATTCGCTGCAGCATTCGCCGGTCTGACAAAGTCGGGCTGCGTGGTGCCGTCCAGAGCCGGGGGATCAGGGTAGTATCTGCTGATGGGCAGGAGAGAGGGATGGTCGATCTCGCAAGACAACAGTCTCGGGCCACCATCTTTTCCTTCAAAGTCGAGAAGGTCTCTGAAAGATCGAGGCCGGTGATAGTCTGCCGTGTAATAAAAGATCTTCCACAGAGCTTGCAGGATTCTCAAATTGGTCATCCGTGATGGCAGCCCCGTGTCGATTCCCCAGCTGTAAAAGTTGAGCATAGCTACCATTTGCTCGCGTACGTATTTTCGCGTACGAAGGACAACGTCCGCAGACTCCCCAAGGAACTTCCAGCTTGGAGGCGGGTCAGGCATTTCGGCGAGGTTGAACCTGGGATGGCGAAGAGCAGGGTTCGGCCAGTTGTGGCCATGCGAGGATTCGCCGGACGAATGCTCCGCCGGTGAGCTCATGTTGGTTGCAAGTAGAGTGGATTGTTGAAGATGAGTGCTAGAACTCTCTGTAGGGACGAATTGCGCAAAGTTAACAACAATGAAGAAAGGAACAGGGAGAGAGGGATTAAAAGATAGAAATTGGCACAAGCAGGAGCAGTCGAGGCAAATCAGACGATTAAGTACGCAGCAGAGTTTCGTCTTCGAGACATATTGCCATTCATTCAGAGACTGGAGACAAAGGACTTCAGGACGACTTGATGTGGACAAAGATAGAGCATAGAATAAGTCAGAGCTCGAAAGAGTACATCCTCTCGACAATGAGGTCCAAATACTTGGCTAGAAAGCCATGGTAGCAGAGGACTCCACGATTGTTTCTCCAACAATTGAGCAGAAAGGAACCTCTGCTGAAAGAAGGCGTGCAGAACCCCAGGCTGTCATGGCCAGTCAACAAGCGACGGGGTAGGAGAATCGAGTCAAAGAACTGTTTCAAATCAATCACTACCCCGGTGATAGGCCTCTTTGTCCAAGCTTCGAAGGTCTTGGCTGTGTCTAGAACAGACACTCCAGCAAACTCAACAAAGGTTGGAGGACATAATGGCTGTTGCAGCAACCTGCGCTACACTTGGCCCAGCGAGGTGGACGACCGAGCAGTGAAAATGCTACATGGTTGTGAGTGTCAGTTATACGGCAGATGGAAGGGCCTGCAACAAATGAGATCAGTCCAGATTAATAGGTCGATATTAGATACAAGAGCATCTGCTGTTTCTACGAGGAAATCTCGCTTCTGTCGTGAGGTGCCTCTTGGAGACATCTCTTCATCAAGATCAATACACATTTGCATCGAGAAAAAGACGAGCGAGAGAAGCACTTCAAGAGGAACGGGTTCAATCACTCAGAATAGATTAAGAAGGTCTCAGAGACATAGCGATCATCCTCAATGGCGCCCCGATTATAATCTCTGAATGAAGACAAAGAACTGTACACCTGATACAGTACGCATACATGCCAAGTCACGTGCCACAATCAATGTGAGGACCAGGTAATTTATCCCTGTTGAGTTTAGCGCCCTCGACAAGCGAGCCCTTAAGCCCACCTTACCCTATCGGGCTAGACCACTGCTTACCCGATCCCACAACGGGAGCGAGCAAAGTCATGGAAGGCGCCCTCGATTTCACCTCTCCTTCATCCCTCTTGCTGTCGACAATCAATCGCGAGTCCCGTCGCGCCATCGCCCATCATGTGTACGTTCTTCCCATATTCCCGGACTCCCTTTGTTCGCACATTGCTATTCCTCGATTATTTGGTTTGGAAAAGTGGTTGCAAATGATGGAAAGGAAAACGGGTTCCAGGGCTGTTAATACTGCTTCATCGGAGGACGCTTTTCGGAGATGATAAAATTTTAGAAATGACAGAGAGAACAAAAGGCTGACTTGATTTTTTTTTTCTCGATTCTACAGCGCTCGTGTCCGGCGAGAAGACGAACTTCCAGTACATCTTGCGTCTGCTCAACACCAATGTTGACGGCAAGCAGAAGATCATGTACGCCTTGACCCAGATCAAGGGTGTCGGCCGCCGTTACTCCAACTTGGTTTGCAAGAAGGCCGATGTTGACCTGAGCAAGCGGTACGTTCAATCTATTTCTTTTTTACGGCATCTTCAGGATAGAAAATGAGAGAGGGAGGGAAAGGGAACGGAAGGCGTCGATTGAAAGAATTTCACAACTACGATAGCAGCAGAAGTTGACTTGAATCACAGCGCTGGTGAGCTCACCACCGAAGAACTCGAGCGTATCGTCACCATCCTCCAGAACCCCACCCAGTACAAGATCCCCAGCTGGTTCCTCAACAGACAGCGCGACATCGTCGATGGCAAGGACTCCCAGGTTCTGTCCAACGGTCTGGACAGCAAGCTCCGTGAGGATCTTGAGCGCCTGAAGAAGATCCGCTCCCACCGTGGTCTGCGTCACTACTGGGGTCTCCGTGTCCGTGGTCAGCACACCAAGACTACCGGCCGCCGTGGACGCACCGTCGGTGTCAGCAAGAAGAAGGGCTAAACCATTGCGGATGTCTTTTTTGTTTTCCGCTGGAGTGGATTTGGTGGGACTATGTTGGTGTGTGTTTACGAATCCTCGTGGGACTCTGGACTTGATCTGGTGTTGATATAAAAACGACACGGGCCCCAACAAAAGCGAAAGAAATCATACCAATATGAAATGAAACAGATCAAAATCACTCCCTTTTGCGTTATGACTCGGCATAGCTGGTATTCTATGGACCTACCTCGATGTGGTAATGATTTCGCCGTACTGTTCCATTGTACTCCCGTAATTCCTTGAGTAGGCGTCGGTCACCTAAACCGAGACTCACATACTTAATAGGTAAACCTTTACCGGGTCGAGGAAAGATGGCAATCTTTCTATAAAGCAGAGTATATATATATCACCATACAATATCCGCAAAGACAATACTATCCAAAAAAGACTGCGATGTAATCAAAAAGCCAGCATATATTCTGTCTAGCAACGAACACCATTCTCTAGAACCATTCACCACCAAGCCAGCGGTTGAAGAATTCAAGACTGGCCTCGGGCTGGTCCATGGGCACCATGTGTCCAGCACCGTAGAGACGCATGAAGGTGAAGTTGCCGTGAGACTTGATCTGGCCAATCTTCTTACCCTTGTGTTCATTCTCCTCGATGACCAGATCGTTCAACTCAAGAGATGCGAACTCCTTCTGTCCAGGCCACTCGAGAGCCTCAGTCCAGGCCTTGTTACCAAGCCAGTTGCAGATGAAGTCCGCGTCTCCGGCGTAGATCAGGACGGGAATCTGCTCAAGGAGGCCAGGAACCAGGTGGTGGTAGGGCTTCATCCAATCACCGTGGAAGAGGAAGTTGCGGTTGATGTCAAAGTTGCAGGAATCGTAGCCGTCGACCTCGGCACCGACAGCTTCGCGGACCTCACGCTTGTTCAGGTACTCGCTAACATAGCCCATACCCTTGTAGCACAGGTTGCTCGAGTCCTCACACTTGCCCCGAATATCGTAGACGTTCTGGCCGGTTCTCTGGTAAGGACCAATGAGGGCGTTGTTGCAGTAGATCGAAGCAGGGACGCAAATCCAGGAACTCTCGGTGTTGTAGCAAGACTCGATCATCGACTTGCAACGAGGCAGAGCGTTATCCATCGACTGGCAGCTGGCTTCGTCCAGAACAGCAGGATAACCACCGTCGCCGCAAGCCATGGGGCGGTAGTAGTCATACTGGGTCAAACCATCGGTGAGACCATTGCCAATGAGGACGGACTTCAGGTTGATGTTGCGCTTCTTGTGAGACAGAATCTCAGAGGCAAATACCGGGATGTAGTGACCAGCGTACGACTCTCCAGCAATGTGGAAGTCCTGCTTGGCATATTCCGGGAATTGCTTGAAGAAGAGGGTAAGGAGGGCGTAGACATCCTTGCCTGCGGCAACGGTGTCGCTAACAGCGGCGCCACTGTAAGAATAGCCGACATTGACGGGCTGGTCAAGGAAGATGACGGAAGCATTGGAGTTCCAGGCAAAGTCATTGTAGACAGGCTTGATCTTCTCGTTGATGCTGCTGGGACCAAGCTCCAGGAACAGTCCAGTAAGGGAAGAACAGCCAGGGCCACCGTTGAGCCATAGGACAACGGGGTCGTTCTTGGGGTCATTACGAGACTCGAAGAACCCTTTAAAAGTTAGTATTCACCTATGCACGACCAAGAAAATCAGAGTGGAACTCACAGTAAAACAGATGCTTGTCATTCTCGTTATCGTCAAGATAACCAGTGTACTGCTTCACACCAGGATCGATACCGAGAGCATTAGGATCGGTCTTCTTGACTCTCAGATCATAGGCCTCCAGCTTGCCATCAACCTCCCGCTCCTTCTCGCCGCCGGCACCAGTGACCCAGACACTCTGGACATCAGCGCCACGGACGATGTGGTCCCAGTGGGAGTCAGGACGACGGGTGTGCTTCTTAGGCAGCGAGAATACAGGGTTATGATCCATGCTGTTGGGAAAGTGGCTAGCAACCTCATCCCACAGATGACGAGCCTCATCAGACAGAGTCTTGAGCTGCTCTTGGAGGTCATGAAGCGGCTTGGCCAGTGTGTCGGCACCCTTCTTGGGCAATCCGAGGATCTGCTGGAAGGGAGGAGCAGCCGCAGTGGCCGCTCCGACCAGCAACGTAGCTGGCAAAACTCTCATGATGACTTAGACCGTTTCCAGATCGACCTGAGATGTGTATTGATGATGGATAGGAGGATGGGAGATGACCTGGCAGCGAGCTTATCAGTACCGTATCAGAGAGAGCAAGAGAGTACAGTGACGGTTGCCAACGTACGATTCACAGATAAACAAAGCACAGGTTGCTAAGACAGTTGATGAACTCTCAACTGGCTTGATGATAGGTAGATGAAGAGAAGTAGAAGAGGAGATGACAGAAGGATGGATGATGGCTGAAGCTTGATGGGCAGGCCCAATGACGACTGAATCAGCGGCGCTGATAGCGAGGCAAGGAGGCGGCCACTCAGAGCGCGGTGCCTTGTGCGGAGAACCAGTCACATGTTGGGTCACCTGCCGCTGAGTCACGCGGGCGGCACGAGACCAGCGTCATCGCAAATTATAGAAGCAGATCGGGGATGGTCGCATTTTTGTGAGGGGCTGCAGGACTTTTTTCCATCACAATCAACCACATTTGATTCGATCTCATATATTAATATTGTTTGAATTTCGATTGCAAAGAGCCCAAGCGGCTCAGAGAACATAGACAGAATGCCTATCAACCAGCCCTCAAATCAGATTAAATTCACCAATGTATCAATCGTCCGATTAAAAAAAGGTCCGTTTTATTACCCTCATGGATATCCACCCATCGCTAATCCTACAACAGGCAAGAAAAGATTCGAACTCGCCTGCTACAAAAACAAACTCCTAGAATACCGCTCCGGCGCCGAAAAAGACCTCGACAATGTCCTCCAAGTCCCAACAATCTTCCTCTCCGTCTCAAAAGCCCAAACCGCCCCGTCGGCCGAACTAACAAAAGCCTTCGGCGCGAACGTAACAACCGACGAAATCCGCCAGGAGATCCTCCGCAAAGGCGAAGTGCAGGTCGGCGAGCGCGAGCGCAAGGAGATGCTGGAGCGGGTGGAGAAGGAAGTCCTCGACATCGTCTCGGGGCGGCTGATCGACCCCAACACGAAACGGGTGTACACGCCGGGGATGATTTCCAAGGCGCTGGATCAGTTGAGCTCGGCGAGTGGGCAGCAGCAGATGCAGCAGGAGGGGAATGGGACGGGGGCCGGCGATGAGAATGGGCCGGCGCAGCCGCGGAAGCCGCTCTGGACGGGGGTGACGCCGAATAAGTCGGCCAAGAGTCAGGCGCTGGAGGCGATGAAGGCGTTGATTGCGTGGCAGCCTATCCCTGTGATGCGTGCTCGGATGCGACTCCGTGTCACTTGTCCGGTGTCGCTGCTGAAGCAGTCTGTCAAGGCTGCCGCGGCGCCTGGGGCGAGCAAGGAGAAGGAGGCGCCGTCCGGCGGGGGGAAGAATAATAAGAAGGGTGGGAAGGGTGGCAAGGGCAAGGCTGCGCGGCAGCAGGACTCAGACGTGGAAGCTGGTGGCTCGGACGCGGAGACGGCGCCTGCTGTGAAAGCCCCAACCAATGTCAAGGACAAGATCATGAGCTACATTGAGTCGGTGGAGAGTCAAGAAGTGGTCGGAGGTGATGAATGGGAAGTGGTTGGGTTTGCTGAGCCAGGCGCCTTCAAGGGGTTGAACGACTTCATTGGCACCGAGACCCGCGGAAGAGGTCGAGTCGAGGTGTTGGATATGGCGGTTACCCATGAGGATTGAGGCTCACCTTCTCCGTGAACTCCCTCATCCCTCATCACTTTCGTTGATTAACGTTCTTAGAGTCGACTAAAAGTATATATCCTGCATGATTTCACTTGATGTCTGTTACGAGCGATGACAGGGCCATGTAATGATTAGTCAAGAATAGCATTATAGAGATTGAACAGTCAATGCATCTGGAAGTAAATGAATATGGTAAAATACGAGTGACAGGATGTCTGCATGCACCTCGACTTAAAAGACACACAGTTGCATACTCAATCTGGGAATAGTACAGTAACACCACAACGCCAGAGGAACCAAATAGAGACAGTAGAGGCCAGAAACACAACAGACCACGAGAAAGAACAGATCACCCCGCCACAAGCAAGACAACATCCTTCCCCGGCCCAAGTTCCCTCGCAAGCCGAATTGTCCTCTCAACCGCATACCCCGTCATCGCTCCCGAGACTATCCCCTCCTGACTCCGAAGAATGTCCACGCCTCGCAACGCCTCGTCATCCGTCACAGCGACATATTCCACCGTGGCAGTCTCCTTCCAGTCCGCCAGTTCAGGGCCGACGCTGGGGAAGTCGAGATCGGGGGAGATCGAGCTCGAATCGAGGATCTGGCCATGCTCGTCCTGGAGGAGATAGGTGCGGCATCCGTGCAGGACCCCGACGTCGCCGTGGGATAGGGGAGCTGCCCCTGCCGCCTCGATGCCGAGCAGTTTCACCGACGGGTGCTCGATGAACGGGTAGAACATGCCGACGGCTGCACTGCCTGGTCCGACGGGGGAGACGAGGGCATCCGGGAGACGGCCACCGCTGGCGCCGCCGAACTGCGTTTTGATCTCCTCGCCAAGGATAGATTGGAAGGTGCGCGTGATGGTTGGAAGCGGGTGGGGACCGATTGGACCGCTCATGATATGGTATGTGGTGCTGAGATGGGCGACAGAGTACCGAAGGGCCTCGTTGACTGCAGCTCGGAGGGTCCCACGGCCCGGAGACGCGCCCATGTCCGCGGTGAGGACTGTCGCTCCCAGTTGTCTTATCATGCCCACGCTGTCCTTCTGGTTGCTTGCGTCCCGGCTCCCCATGAGGATGGTGCATTTCATATTCAAGCGTGTGCAGGTTGCCGCGCAGACGATACCGTGTCTGGCTGAGCCGCACTCCATGACGACTTCGGTCTTTCCTAGCCGCCGT